GGGTTACTGGGCACAGACACACTGAATGCGATGTTAGACAAGGCTGATACTGAGCACTGAGGGACCTGTGGCCAGGAGGATTACAGATCGATGACAGTCTGTTTTTACCTGATGACAGATGAATTGCAGGACAAAGACAAACAGGACCACACGCACACGCTTGTAAGTCTGAAATACACTGCTGTCACTATATTATACCATATGGAGCACCAATAGACACAGTAGCGCATTTTCTCAGTTTCATGAATTTATTTAATGTGTCAGTTATACAATGTAGAATGTTTTATAGTGTCTGATTCCATTACTACCCGTCACGGCACACACTGCTGGTATATCACGTGTCAACGACGCAGCCATATTTATTCTGCTAGGAGATGAGAATTCTTTCTACCGGTATAAAATATTGCTAATTATCTGTTAATAGACCTAAATACAAAAGGTAACGACTGGTTTTGTTCTGTTTTGTTGCACATATTTCATGTTAGAAAGTGTTACAGGTTTACAAAGCAATATAAAACAGCAACGAAATGGCAAACAAACAAATGGAGACAGAACCTGGGAAAGACGTGAAGCTGAGCTATACGTTTACTGGCTCCACTAGGTCTCGTATTAATAGGTTACTCCATTCACAATGACATCTTCAGTAATTTGAAGTGGTTATGGTGGTAGCATTGGCGTACTATGTGGCAGGAAACTGCCACGGAAACATCAGAGCCGGCCGCCACGGGAGCATGGAGGCGACGCGCAAGGGAGCAAAGAGGAACTGCAGGACGGATTCTGCTCCCTCGCGGCGGCAGGCTATAATGTTTCCTGCGCGGCTTAGCAAAGGGCTGACAAATACCAGGCGCCAGGGCGAAATGTCTAGTCACCATGGCGACCTGGCGCCTTGGATTTTAGTGACATGGCGTCACTGCGGCCCCTGCATCACTACAGAGAGCACACAGGGGAGCAGAGAGAAACTGCAGGAAGATTGAGAGGAGACACACTGGACGCCAGGGAAAGATCCACTCAGCTCTTCCAAAGGTAGTAAAGATGGGTGGATTCAAATTAAAATAGCAATTTGTGTGTGTGTGTGTGTTTGTATGTGTCTCAGCATATGTGTGTGTATGTGTCCCAGTATGTGTGAGTGTGTGTCTCAGTCAGAGAGTGTGTACCTGTCACTGTATGTCTGTCAGTGTGTGTCTCAGTCAGAGAGTGTGTGCCTGTCAGTGTGTGCCTGTCACTGTGTGTCTCAGCCAGAGAGTGTGTGCCTGTCGCTGTGTGTCTGTCAGTGTGTGTCTCAGCCAGAGAGTGTGTGCCTGTCACTGTGTGTCTCAGCCAGAGAGTGTGTGCCTGTCACTGTGTGTCTGTCAGTGTGTGTCTCAGCCAGAGAGTGTGTGCCTGTCACTGTGTTTCTCAGCCAGAGAGTATGTGCCTGTCACTGTATGTTTGAGGAAAAAGAGAAAAGAAGTTCAGGCACTCTCAGGATACAAAAAGGCAAATTTATTGGGTTTGAGTGCAGTTCCACATTCCTGCTATATTATTATCAATGTATGTCTGTTAGAATGTGTGTATGTCTGTCAGCGTGTGTCTCAGCCAGAGAGTGTGTGCCTATCACTGTATGTCTGTCAGAATGTGTGTGTGTGTGTCGGTGTGTGTCTGTCACTGTATGTCTGTCAGAATGTGTGTGTGTCTGTCTCAGCCAGAGAGTGTGTGCCTGTCACTGTATGCCTGTCAGAATGTGTGTGTGTGTGTCTGTCGGTGTGTGTCTCAGTCGGAGAGTGTGTGCCTGTCACTGTATGTCTGTCAGAATGTGTGTGTGTATGTCTGTCAGCGTGTGTCTCAGCCAGAGAGTATGTGCCTGTCACTGTATGTCCGTCAGTGTGTGTCTCAGTCATAGACTGGGGGCAGAGCTTGCGTACGGGGAGGCGATATTCCATGCAGTGGCATAGCTTGTGTGCTGGTGAAGGTGCTGCACAGTGGCGGAACTAACGAAGAGTGGGCCCTGGTGCAAAAACTGTTTTGGGCCCCTGAAAGCAAATGCCGATGAGGTGGCCCTAATTGCACAGGCCACTCGATAGGCCCCGGTCTAACCGCAACACCATCACTGCTTGTAGTTCCTTTGCTGCGCCTTCCTTATTACACGCAAGACACCTTTTCACGGAAACTGGAAAACCTTTTCAGGAGATGCAAGATAATTTTCCACGGTGTTTAGAAGGGGCTGTGGTTACGTTTGTATAGAGGAGTCTGTTTATGGTGTACTATGTGTAACTAGGGGCTGTACACGTGCTCATGTAGAGGAGCTTTTGAGATTGTGTGTGTGCTGAGAGGGTCTGTAAAGTGTGTGCGTGTGAATCTCGGGGCTGTATTGTGGGTGTATGTGTATTGGGGTTACATTGTGTGCTTATCAATGAGCTGTAGTTATATATATATATATGATGTTCAGTATTTGATGGGGTGAAGCATGTATGTATGTATGTGTGTGTGGGGCGGTGAAGGTATGAGGGGAAGAGAAGGTGTGTATGTGAGTAAGGAGATGATGTGTGTGAGGGGTGCACTGTGTGTGTATGCAAAGGTGTACTCTGTGTTGATGGGAATGTACTGTATGTGGGGAGTTCACTGGCTGTGAGGGTGTGCTGTGTTCAGGGGGTGTAGAGAGTGGGACAGTGAAGAGCTTTACAATTTTTACTTTATTAATTGTCTGGGGAAAAAAAAGAATATTCTCCTTTCCCGGACCTTGCAGGGAGGGGGTGGCACAATCAGATCTGTGGTGGTTGATACAAACCCACAGACTGCCCGCCCACACAGACTGACCCATACACACACATACACACACACACCCATACATACACACACACACAGACTGACCCATACAAACCCACAGACCAACCTATACACATACACACACACTGACCCCCCCACAGACTGACCCATACACACACACTGACCCCCCCCAGACTGACCCATACACACACACTGCCCCCAGACGACCCATACACACACACACAGCCCCCAGACCCATACACACACACACTGCCCCCAGACTGACCCATACACACACACTGACCCCCCCCAGACTGACCCATACACACACACTGACCCCCCCACAGACTGACCCATACCCACACACACACACAGACGCATACAAACCCACAGACTGACCCATACAGACTCACAGACTGACCCATACAGACCCACAGACTGACCAATACAAACCCACAGACTGATCCATACAAAAACACAGACCAACCTAACACACACACACACACACACAGACTGACCCATACCCACACACCCATACCCCACACACAGACTGACCCATACACACACAGACTGACCAATACATACACACGCAGACTGAACCCCACCCCCCACATACACAGACTGACCCATACACAGACTGACCCATATATATGCACATAGACTGAGCCCCCCTACACACACACACAGAATACAGCATAGCGCCCCCTCTGGCAGCATGTGGAAATACAGCACAGCGGCCTCTTCTGGCAGCATGTGGAAATACAGCACAGCGGCCTCTTCTGGCAGCATGTGGAAATACAGCACAGCGGCCTCTTCTGGCAGCATGTGGCAATACAGCACAGCAGCCTCTTCTGGCAGCATGTGGAAATACAGCACAGCGGCCTCTTCATGTGAGAATACAGCACAGCGTCTCCTCTGTCAGCAAGTGGGAATACAGCACAGCGCCCTCTTCTGGCAGCATGTGGGAATACAGCACAGCGCCCTCTTCTGGCAGCATGTGGGAATACAGCACAGCAACCTCTTCTGGCAGCATGTGGGAATCCAGCACAGCACCCCCTCTGGCAGCATGTGGGAATCCAGCACAGCGCCCTCTTCTGGCAGCATGTGGGAATACAGCACAGCGCCCTCTTCTGGCAGCATGTGGGAATACAGCACAGCGCCCCCTCTGGCAGCATGTGGGAATCCAGCACAGCGCCCCCTCTGGCAGCATGTGGGAATCGGGCACAGCGCCCCCTCTGGCAGCATGTGGGAATCGGGCACAGCGCCCCCTCTGGCAGCATGTGGGAATCGGGCACAGCGCCACCTCTGGCAGCATGTTGGAATCCAGCACATTTTATTAAATGTTTTATAGTGCATTGAGAAGGAGCACCTTAACCTGATAGAGCATATTACACCTGATACATGGGCTACAGGAGAGATACTCTGCACATGCAGGCTACAGGAGAGATACTCTGCACATGCAGGCTACTGGAACCTGAGCCCGCCCCTACACCGGGGCCGCTGTCCATGACAGAGTACTGAATGAGTATCTTCAGGAAATAGCAGACGACATGTCAGAGGGAATTAGTTTAATAAAGAGTTAGAATGAGTTTCCAATTTTGTAACATCAAAGCATTGCTTTAAAATTAACTGTAAATGTTTCTAGTGACACACAATGCAAAAACGTAAAGGACTAATATCTACCAAGGACTTGTTTTCTTCAGATACAAAGTAATCCCGAAAATTACAACTCTTGAATCT